CGTAGTATATGCATAGTGATAATGATTTCCTAAAGACCGACCATATTGTGATTTGAAATATTCCAAGAAGCTTCATGTCCAGGTCCAGAGGGAAAGGCGACAAGACTACTGTCCGAGCCAACAAACACAGATGTAAGAACCAACCCATCGAACCCAAGATCCCGTGTCCTGTAAATTACAAATATTGGTCCGTTTTCTCGTACTTTAGATAAAACCTTTCGTTTGGACGGCAGAGGAGAGTGTCGTTCCAGTTTGGGGTGGGTAAGGACCTAAGTTGGTCATCCGCATCGACAACCGAGTGGCGGAAACCCAACACGAGCATAGCCGTTACCAACTTGAGTTCGACTTTGGCCAACCGGGTCCCAAGGCATGTTGTCTTCCCTAGTATTCGAGTGAGCAGGACAAAGTTAGACAAAGAATGGAAGCATACCTGCGCCCCAACCAATATAACTTAACGGAACTTCCTTTGGTTCTTGTCGACCGGGATCAAACTTCCAAGGGTCAGAATACAGCTCAGGATCGAGGTGAACATCGCTGAATGGATAAACCACGTATGACCCCGTTGGAATAATTTTCCCATCGATGTAGATGTCGCGGCCGATGTTACGCCTCATCGCAACGTGTGGTTGAGCAACCCGTGTCGTCTCTCGGATGAGGGAGTCCAGAACAGGCGCTTCAGTCTCCCATGCCTTCAAGGGGATAGCGGCTAACCGTTTCGAGAGGGATTCACGTTCTGAAGACGCCGACCAATGAGCTGCGAGTAACGATGATACCTCCTGCGCAGCTTTGGCTCGCCATTCCGGATGGCCACCCAAATAAGTCGACAACCAGCACGCTGGGAAGCATAAATGTGAGTCAACGGAGTCGCTGCGAGAAAAGAGCGAATAGCTACCCGTTGTCCCTGTTGCACGAGCCCCGGCGATGATGAGACCCATAATAAACTAAACAAGATTTTAGCTTTCGTTCGAGTCAGTATGAAACGGGAAAGAGCGACTCACGCCAACCACGACAAGCCTGTCATCCCCAGTTTCAAGGAGCATCTGTAAGGTATCTCGTTTGTATACGCCACTCTTTTGGCGAGCATCGATAGCGCGAACAACGATATCGTAAATTTCCTTGGTGGCCCACAGCTTTTTGATCATGGAGGGGGTTGGCAACCAAGGAAGCAGAACAGTCGCTGGCGTCGTTCCGGTTTCCAACTTATCGTAAAGAACTTTAAGGCGGGACACGAGCACGGGATCGTCCGCTATTTCTGAACAAGACAGGCTTCGGATGGTGACTTGGAAGAGAAGCTAGTGAAGCAAAGAAAAAAGTTAAACATAGTTCTCCCGATCTTGCGACGAATATCGTACCTCGTATATTTTGTCGAATGGGTCAAATGTACCAGCACCATCCCAGCTGTCCATTTGTTTCCGAATATCCTCCAAAATGACGGGAATAACTGATTATTGGTGATAGTAAGGTCCTATCCGGAAAGAAGCGGGGGTAAAGTGCTCTTACGTTGACTAAGTGACGCCTCTCTCTGCACAGCGGCAAGACGTTTATGTATCAAAGCTATCCGCTTGCTCTGCAAGTCAGAGGTTACACCTTTCACCATGGGAATCTACGGCAGAAGATTGAGTGACAGATACTTATGACAGCTTGGTAATGACATACCGCACCGGAGAGAATTTTGAAGCCCTCCGTGAGATCCAGTTCCTTAGCCGCGAAGAAAGCTTGTCTCGCACTCTCCCCAGAAACGACGACAACGGTATTCTGCGGAATAAAGCTCAGAACGTATTCATAAAATTTCAGAAGCGGGAGAAGGGCCTTACCCTGAGAAGTTTGAACTTGAAGACAGTTGAACCCGTAGCATAGATGCCCCAGTTCAAGAACTCAAAGCGTTTACGGAAGAAGGGGTGAATGGCGAGTAATGAGCAGCGAGGTAATGACTTTGGTGTGTCAGGGACATCGTGTTGGAAGGCGTCGAGGAGGAAAACAATCAAGAGGAATGAAACGATAGCAAAAGTGAACTGGATGGGTAAACCAGCCGAAAGAAAGGCTGCAGCAGCAGTCTGGAGCCCGACAGTGTAAGGCATTGGAGAAAGGCGCGATGGTACGGAAGCAGGTGCTCGTCAGGGGATCTTGGAGTCCAGCAAGCATCGAAGTGTTCATAGTCCATTATATAGGTGAGGCGGTCGTAACCAGACTCATGGTGCCTCTATTCATTATTTTTCTCAGGAGGTTCGGGGTCGTTAGTCCCTGGCTATTTTCGCAGAGTAAATCTGAGCAAGTGTTAGATCCCCGAAGGTCCAAGTGAGGCGAGGCGTGGTTTGGGTGCGTCACGGTACCGACACCAGGATCCCGAGGAAATCCCACACGTGGGTACATCCCATCATTGATCGCCATGCAGAGATCGCTAAACCTATTAAAATAAATCTTTAAAAGAACTGCCATGAGCATAACAGGTTTCATAATATTAATGGCACCTGTAGATGGTTACACGGCGTGGATGCACGTCATAGTATCGCGTTTTGAGGAGAGATAAGGATAACAACTGTCGACACCATTCGTTCCTCATATCGCGGATCCCATAAGATTTGCCTTGGAAGTAAGAGTTGGGGGTATCCTAGAGCGTTGTCTGAGATCACCGAACTTTACCGTCCCGTTTTAGCTGCAGTGAGAATAACAAAATCATCCGAGTCTATTTCGACGGGATCAGTAGCGGCACTCTCGACAAACGGAGCGACAATTGTTCGCAGCCCCGAACCCCTTTTTGCTGTCGTAAAGGTCTGCATTCTGCGGAGAATAGAATAAATTCGCTCAAGGGGCTGCGGAGAGCGGGTTAAAAGAGGACGCTCGTCCAAGTGGGATCTATAGAAATTATCGTAAGTGTGCTATACTTTCGTTCTGCTGGGACAAGACGGGCATCAGTAGCTGCCGTCAGCTCAAGGCGGCCGGATTCGTTGAAGAATGTAAACGAACGTACTTTCTGTTGAGCCTGGTGGTCGGGCAACAAATTCAGTTCAAAACGAAGACACCGCTTCACCTATGATTGAAGTCGAGCTGAAACCGCGCAGAAAAACACATGTTGCTGGATACCTGAAGAATAGAGACATCCTCCGAGGACAACGCTCAGTAAGCGGAGAGTTCCCAACCCCTTCAACAATGGCGGGCATCATGTCACCTCCACACAGAGGTCATCACTTCGGATCCGGACGGTCCAAAGGTTTTATCGACAAACAAAGATGAATGAACTGATTTCACTGAAAAAAGAAGCATCAGCTAGTGCAACGACGTGCATAGGCAAGAGGAAAAAGCGCGGCAGCTGATTAGCACATGTAACATGGATTCGGTATCATGTCACACATGGATCTTTCTCCGGGGAATGGCAGGGTTCAACAGAGGCGGAGGTCGGCGAACTTCGCTGTTCTACCACGAATAATTTCAATTCCTACAGAGCTCTATAAACATGGGGGTTGTTCGCCGTCTGCGCGTCCTAGGGAGGGCACTGGGGCAGCCGAGAGTGACGGTATTGCAATGCCTTCCAGACAGAGATGTAATGGGCCCCCGCAGCAAGGACGATGCATACGTGAAACAGTTGATGCGATGCAAAAAAATAGTCAAATTTTCCTGGTGACAACCTTTCGGGAACGCGGTTCGCACTGCAAGGGCAGACCCCGATCAGCACAAGGATTCTACAAGTTTGACTGTTCTTGGAATCGTCAGGAGACTTACTACAATAAAGCACCGAAGAGGTACAGCCCGGCGGAGGCCAGCAACCAGTCAAAACCCAGATCTTGCAACAAGAATTGGAAACTCTGAATGTATGATAGGTGCAAGACCGGAAGAACGGCTGACAACCCCAAGAGGACGAAGACGACGGTCCGAGCACCACGATGGGTAGGCTTCGCGTATTCTGGGTCCAATACAATAGTGCCTGCTCCTAGATACCAAGACACGACAGCCATGCCCGATCATGAACGGAGAGATGGCTGAATCATTTGAGATACTTACCGATGCCGGCACAAGAAATGAAAAGAAGATAGAACGCCTGGAGGTAGGTTTCACAAAAGAAACCGTAGTAAAGGCAGGGATAGGTCGACCCCACGATGAGAACGAGAATACCTGTGTAGTCCAATGCGTGGCAACGGGTCGCGACCTGCATGGTTGAGGAGTAGGAAAAATGAGGCAGGTGGAGTCACCGCACCTGTTCGGAGTGACAAGTCGAAGTATGGAACAGCGCGCTCCCTCCAAGGCAGAAAGTAGCGGCCATTAGGAACACGGAAAAAATCCCGACGTCAACCCAAGTTGTGCTCGGAACCGTAACCAGAACATTCCCTGGCAAAGCGAGTAACAGGTATAAGAATATCACAGCCCCCCAAAGATGGGTGTGGATATTAACTATTTGTGAAATCCGTTACGCGGTACGCTCGCTACCGAGGACGAAGACTAACCCGTCTCGTTGTGGAGATCTTCAAAGGGTCAGTTCACTAAAATTCATGCGAGGACGATCTCTTACAAGCGTAAACGGATACAAAACAGCCTCTCCAATGGTGTTGAATCCTGAAACAGTTCAACATCATTCACAGAGATCTCGCCCACAGAAAGTCTACCGTCTGTAGCCCGCATGAATGAATTCATTGTCCTTCTGCCAATCGGGGATGTCTTGCCATGTCAACGTCCGCGCTAAGGGGCGGTTCGTATAGTCGACGCGATGTGGCTTTTTGGGTCTACGGCGGCGGAGGGAATTCTGCATGCCGTCGAGACTCGAAGTGCGGCGGTTGTGGGCGACGACAAGCATCGACACGCATGTCAAAGGCATTACATAAGCCTTTTTGTGCTATTTCCATCGCTGACTGGCTTTTGCCAGGGTAAACGGGACCATGGCGGTTAGGCACTTGGGTGATGTAGCAGAGACCACCGACGCAGAGCAGAGTCGTTGAGCATCGTTACTCCACAGCCGCTCAGGGTTGATATGGCCCGCACGCTCTGTATTTCGGGAATGCGAAACAAACATAGCCCGCTTGGCTCAGGGGTAGAGCGCGCCACTCGTAAGGTCCATGTGATCAGCGATGGTGAGGTCAGTCGTTCAAATCGGCTAGTGGGCACTCGCTTTTTGGATGTTCTGCTTCTTTTTTTATTTACGGAGAAATATGTCTGATCAAATACACAATGAAAGCGTTGCGCAAAAAAAAAATACACCGTATATACCGAGTGCTAGCCCGCCAATGCCCATTATGAAATAAATACTTTCCTCAAAGCCGCAAACTCGCACGTCGTTCCTAAACGTGGACAAGTAACGACGCCACCATTCTTAGCTGCCATCTCTTCTAATGCCTGTTCGACATGGTCAAGGAGGGAAGTAGGGTCAGAAAGAGGAACCACTCACTTCTCGAGAATATACATTCCCATCAGGAAAGGCCATCGGCATATTATCTGCATCCATTATTTTACCACTTATACGGCATACGATGGTGGAATTTGCATGATGGCTAAAAGGGACCTCTTGTGCCAGCTTCCCTAAACTCTGTGAGCTACCCCACGCCTCCCCGTCGCACACAGGACAGTCCACGTTCTTTGTGCTGTGGCAATAACACGCTGGAAGCTTTAGAGATGCTAATCCGGCATATAGCGCAAGATGGAGGAGTGGATCCGTTGGGAGTGAATTTAGGTTATAGACGGCAGCACGGAAGGCTCGAACAAGATTGTACCACCGAGAGGGGTCATATAGACGCTGTAGAAGTTCAAAACAGTGGATCAGATTTGGGAGGCTGAGACGAACCTTGTATGGCCCGCAACTCGTTGTGGGAGGATACGCTAAAAGAGCGGATGCCTGCTGAACTTGTGCCAGATGGGTCTCTTGCCAGGGTAATAGGTACTTTCGCGAATATGCTATGGCTTCTGGCGCTTTCCGAACTCTTGACAATTCGATATATTCTTGCAAACGCAGATCAAATTCCAGCGTGCTCTGCCTTGGGCTGAGTTTTGAGTGACTCGACGGGAAGAATAACGCACTTTGATCTTTCGCAGTGCACTCTTATTTTCTGTACACCATGCCAGCGCCTCTGTGCAGCTATGACGCAGTAATGCATCTTCTATGCGCCTTATATCTGTGAATAGGTCGATATCCACCAGCGTCTATCACGAAAGACTCGGACGATGTTCAAAACGAGAAACGATGGAGGAAATACCGCAATGTCCTTCTGTTTGGATATTTTCTTCGCTGTGTTTTCCTTCCCATTCCTTAGACACCAATCCACCAGCCAGCGGTCCAGCCTTGTATCGGCCCAACGTGCGAATTCGGGAGAACTTGTGGAGGACACGGACTCCATCGACGATAGGTGCTGCAGGCGTTCACGTATTACATCCTGTGTGGGTCTCGCTGAGGTTTCTTGCAGGTCTGACAGCTGAGATATCGTGTAAATTAGTGCAGGTGTTATGCGCAGCCAGGCAGACCTTGCGCTTCAGACTCTCCACCTTCCCAATCATCCCCTCGATGGAACTTATGGCATCCTGAGCATTCAGCGAACCCCTCTTTGCATTTGCAAGAAGTTCATTCGCCGTGTTCTGGACTGGTGTGAAGTCTCGTTCGATATTCCTCTGCGAGGTGCGAAATGCCTTCCGGTAGTTCTCATAAGGAACCTAGGAAGATTAACGTGTTAAAGCTCAAAGCCTCCCGCAATGAAAGGGCTTGAACCTTTGCAAAAGGCTGTTCGAACATAAGGATACCTTCAGTGTTAACTTTCGTGGCCATTACTGATGGTGGAGAGTGGGACTAGTGGAGGAGGTGGTGGTCACGAATCACGATCGCACGCTGACATCATTTGTTCAGCGTATGCACGTTACATGAAGTAAGCTAAATACTACAACTATTTAGTATTATACTGCAAGGTGTTGTCACTGTATCTCCCTTGCTACTACAATCACATACCTATCAAGAGGTCAATTATGAGATCACGGGGAAAGAGAGGAACTGCACCTTGACGAAGTACAAACGAGCAATCAGATATAGACCCGAAGGTGTATGGGATAGTAAAAAATTGGACGACGATAGACGCAGAATAGTCTGAATCGAGTTGTGCATATCCAGGCCGCTCGCGACACAGCTTGGGTTAAGCACGCCACAAAGTGCACTCAAGGACACCTGCTCCTCATCACGCAAAAGTCCTCGTGCTCCACCCCTCTCATCCACATAGGTGACACCAAAGTCAACCTGAGTCGGCGTGGTCTGCCGCTGCACGGAACTCCCATCGGTCTGTGTGAAACACTACCAATAGGCTTTCATTGAGAAGTTTTCATGTGGGCTACCAGGTAGCCGTCCATTATTCGTCAATGCGTACAGGAATTGAGAGGGATCCAGCATCAGATGCTGTGACCAAGAAACCGTTACCAGTTTCCCGTGGCCAAAGGCCCTCGAAGCCGATAGACAGCAATGAGAAAAACAGGTGCCCAATCCCCAGAACGAATTCCAAACCACCCCTCCTAAGCTCTCCCTTCCGAGAAGATCTTTGAGATAATAGAAGGGGGTGAATTTCTGGTACATCCTGTGGCCAATTACAGCCAGACCCGGCTAGAGTCGATGATGGGGATAGAAAGCTCAGACCTTAGCCCACTCGCGAAAGAGGATGGTGATCCTGTGCGTGGCGAGTATTGTGGCCTTGTGTCTATCGTTGAGGAGAAAGAACGTTCGGCAAATTGCTGAGAGTCCTCGTAGACAGTTTGCGTCTATTTGGTGGACGCACAGCCACATACTTTCCTTCCCTCCGAGTCGTCATGGTCTGTGCACTCTGCATCTCGTCTTCCACTCTGACTCTTCGTATACGCCACCATCTTCTCTTTCGTGGCATCTGCGATGGACTATCTAGCTTCTCTGGCGACACTCAGGATGACAAAATCCTGTCACTCAAAGCCAGTGTATCATGGCATTGCCTGCCTCGGATCTTTGCACGCTTCAAGTCCGTTTTCACAGATGCGCCCTTCTTGTGTGCTCTGCTGGGACATATCTACTGCGATAATGAGTACCGCCTCGTGCCAAACGTTTGCCATGCAGCTTCTGTCGGTCTGGTCCTCTCGACTCTACGACGGCGTGAAACCGTGACATCGTGGAAAGATAACACGAAACATGGGGCTCAGTTGTTCCAACAGCTAATTTCCGCTGGTGTACCCTTCTGGGGGTCTTCTTGTCTCGTTGCCTAACTCTTCGTTATGCATAGTCTTTCACGTTCTTGATTTCCCTGCTTTACGACACCTACGCTGGTCCAAAGTTGAATACGCGTTAGGATTTTGACTAGGACATGCGGTCTGCGACCCTCGTATTCTGGGTAGAAGAATTCATCTCTTCGGTGGTCGACAAGATGTACCCCAATTATTTTTAACTTGCCGACAACTCAAACAATTATCCAGTCAATCCCCTCGCGATTGCCAGGAGCCAACTTTGCTCATTCTTACCCGGCGAATGCCGCACCCTGAGCGGATTGCACTGAAACCCCGTAGTTTGTTCTCCTTATTTCCATTGACGCCTATCCTGTGTTTACCGTCAAAGGAGCAGAACTCTGCCACTTACAGGCACAGATCTCGCGACCAGTACTCCCATGGAAAGCTTGTATATTCGCCGTCGACCTTCTACGAGTAAAGTTATTATCGGTCTCGATCTTTTCCAGTGGTTTCCCGTTCATGTTTCGCTTCTGCGTTCACCACAAACCTAGGATTCCCTCGATTCCACTCATTCCGCGCCCGCACTTTATTTCCATTTCATTAGGGGAGGCTTCCCCATGTCTACGCGGCGTGCGGGCCTTCATCTGGATCGGGAGTAGTCCGCGCGCCTTCCCCTCAAAAGAACTCCGCGAGTCTACCATCGGAAGCAGTCGCCAACAGTGAACTGTCCGCTCACTTAGCCGAAATGCAGCGTCCATTGTTCGCCTGTGTTTCATGTGGGTACCAATCCTGCCTGCTGTTTCCGTCGTTTTTCTGTCGACGCCGACAAGTTGAACGAAAAATTCTCAACACTCAGCTATGGCATCTCGCACACTGCCAGGACGGCCCTTTTTTAATATTTCGGGATCTCGACCCCAGGCTTTGACCTCTTCTGTTCGGACAGCCTGGGATCAGGGCGACGTGAATCGTGCAACGTTCACCGCAAGCCATATCCTGTCTTCCTAAGCCTTCGTCAATAATGCTCGTCGGTAGTGCTTCCACTTCGTTCTTCAATTATCGGCTTTTTTATAATTTCCTTGGGTCCGCTCGGACGCACACCTCAACGTGTTGGACTTCCGTTGTGATACAGCCTAGGTAGCTACGTCATACCTACATGCCCAAGTTGTTGCATCACCAACACCACCAAACCCAGGCGGTTGATCTGTGCGTATATCCATTCAGATAAACGGATGGAAGCCACGCTACCATTAGGATCCTATTTTCTTTGTGGTGTCTACTTTTTTGACAGGTCTACGTGACGCCTTCCACGCCTTAAATTCTCGTATGGCTACGAGGACAAGAGGTAGGAAAGCACTAGCGAAGAGTGGCGCATACACAGCATATTTGTGCTCTGCAGGGAAGTACAGCATCGCTAACATGCCAGGGTTGAAGAACGCCCGCGAAGACAAGGTGAATGCCCGTGCCGAATGACGGAATATTTCGGCAAGCGAGGACGCAGTATACATCTTTGTTCGCAAGAAACGAGAAATGGCTCAGGTCAGTTATCATTGACAGCACAATTCGGTCCAACGGGCTTACCTGTCCAAGTGCAGATAAGGCGTTTTGGATATCACCTTTCACGTCCTGTCCCACAGGCATGTTCTCGATTTGTTCGACAAGATTGACGATACTCCGCAGGGTGTCGGCAGCGCCTTTTGCATTCTCGAGAGCACGACGCCGTTGCAATGCATCGAGCTGCCATTCAGTAATGACCCTGGACCTTACTTGAGTGCTTCGGAGGTCGGCTGGGAGCTGGGGGATTCCTAGCAGCATGTGTAGTTGGTTTGTAAAGGTCGAAAAGATCGGATCCAGGTCGGTGGAGTTCAGATTGATGTGGTGATTAGTTTCGGAATTATAAATTAGTATACCACCCCATTGTGGGAGGATGAAGGCATTCGAATTGGATATTTGTCCT